GAGCGCAGCGGCTCCCCGGACGCGGCAGCCGAGGCGCCTCCGTGAGGGGAACCGGCCCCCAGGCTCTTCCTCGGCGGCCCCGCCTGCGCCGACCCCGCGCGGTCATCATCAAGCATTCAAAGGAGAACTGTGATTCTCCAGGAATCGGGGTTCGAATCACAGCGAGCAGGTGGGGGTAGGGAGGCTGTCCAGACTCCCTACGTCATAGAAAAGGAGAGGGAGCTTCCGATTCCTAGCTCATTCCTGTTCTCTCAACTGGAAAGTAAAAATGACAGGGAAAAGAAAATTTCAAAGTGGAATTTCCCCATGGAGTCTTGAGAAAGTAAGAAAGATTTCAATTCTCTATGGAAATGAGGTAGCCAGGATTCGGGAAGAAAGCAACAGAACAGCAGATAAAGCAAGTGCTGCTTGATTTGGGGGATCCAGACAAACATTTTTTGGAGGGGAATGTTGTATACTCTGAGTTTTACTGGTTAGGGGTCCACAGAATCCCCACGGGGGTTGGGGGCCTTTCTGCCTATAATCCCAGTTCCAGAATTGTTCCTCAGAGCACAAAGCTTGTGTTCAAAGCTAGAATATGCACTCTTTATAGAGAACAAAGATACAAAATTTACTGGTTTAATGATATAAATGTGGCCAGTGGTATATGAGGTGGGGATGGAGATGGTGGGACCCTGGGAAACGGGAACTCCCGCACCTGTCTTTTGCAGAGGTGGCCTTTGTCACCTTTCCAAGCCAGTAATGAATCTGGATTCTGGTCTGAGTGTTCAGAACCCAGCCGCTTCCACCTCTCTCTACGCCTCTGATTTAGAGTACAAGAAAACAAGCCATCATAAAGTTTAATCCTCACACCGGATTGTTTCCTTTTAGAGAAAGTACTGCAAAGGAGAAATAACCAGGTCTAGTTGTCACTTTCTAAAGCCTTTCTGGCTCTGAGTGAGCTTCCAGATTTCTCAAATCCCAACAGTCATCTGGTGTTTTGTGCAAAGATTGGATCTGAGATGTCATTTCATTACACAGCTGGCCGACAGGGGCCACGGATAGCAACCCAAACAGGCGGCC